AATACCAAAAAGTAATAATAAAATTCCAATAATTGTTGAAATACAACAACAGTTGGAACATGCTGAACAGATTGTACCAATACGACGACGTCGATTTCTTTTATTACCTTCATTATTTTCAATATTTTTTGATGATTTCTCTAATTTTCTTTCAATGATTGGATTTGTATATTGATGACTTCTTCGATTTGGTTTTTGGTTTTGATATTCTTTAACTGATTCTATTCTCGATAAAATTCTTGAAGTATCATCGTTCTTAGATAAAGTAAGAGATTTATTCAATGATGATGACTATATTAATAAGAAAATAATAAGAAAAACAAATTAGAAATTAAGAAGAATAACTACTGGTGAAACAGGATGATTTTTATCTGTAGTTGAGGAAATTACTCTTGGATGAGTAATATTCGTTTCATCTATTGATGAAATTTCTTGCATTTCGATGATAGATGGATTAATTAGAGTTGAAGAGTTTGTTTCTGATTCATATAGATCAAATGGAATCGACATACTTTTCATTGCTTCCAAATTCGAATTATTAGACAATGTCTAAATAAATAATTTTAAAAGATCTTCAAAATTACATACAAATAATCAACATTTAACTTTTTATAATTTGAAAAATTTGATAGAATATTTTTTTATAAGTTAATAGATTTTAGTTGAGATGATGTCATTTACCTGTTCTTCTTTGCCATTTTTATTATCATTTTGTAGTATTGAAAGAACCCTTTTAGTTCCGCTTAATGAATGTCTATTGACAGGTGCCACTTTGACGGACATCTTGAGAATAGAATATCAGCAAATCAAGATTTATTATCTCAAATAATTTACCTCTCTTCGTTGTTTTCTGCGAATACCTGAATAAATATGTTTTCGTGAAACTGGAACTACAGTAACTCCAGTTTTTGTTCTTTGATTTGGCATTTTCTATAGTCGTTGTTCTACACCTAATAAAATAATAATGATAGTTCGAAAGAATTGCAACTGTCCTTTTATGAAATAATTATACTAAAGTCTTCACATTGTTTATGAATTGAAGTTGAAAATATTTTTTTAAGGTATCCTTTTTTTTCAATCCTTCTCTATCATGTATTCTGTACAGGTGTTTGACAGCATTCATTTTTTTCATTGTCTTGATACGTTATTAGTTGAATATGACGTACAAAGCCGTAAGCATGTAAGAAAAAAAAAAACAATACGGTCAGAATATCTGTTGTAAAGTACGAACATTTTGATTATTGTTAAAATCGGTGTCATAGTGGAATCTCATAAGAACAATGAATTTATATCCATACTCAAGAATGATGTAAACATGTTTTTATGTTTTTTTAATCACACCCCAACTGAAGAATCGAATATCTAGAAAAAAATATACAAAAACAAATTTACGTATTACAATGTAATTTTTAACAAACTCTCACTGCTTCAGTTGGATGAAAGTAAACTTTTATTGATCCTGAATGAACTTTGAATCTAATAACATGATTTAAGGTGCACCATAATATCGAAATATATATTGAAGAATAATCCACATTTCTTAAAAAATAATGTCTTATTTTTCAACATTCATCTAAGAACAATAAATATGAGGGTGGATGATACATATATACTTACAGGATGTTCATTTCAATTTTAACCTATTCTGTAGTTAAATTTTCACTTAGATTTAAGACGAATTTAGATATTATGCTCATCAAAATGAAATTTACTAAGTTTTGAGTTAGCTCGATTTCTTATGATGATAATTTTCAATCAAAATTAGTTACGATTTAATTCGTAAACTTAGTAGATGAGTATCAAAATGAGATAATCAAACGAAGATTATTCCATTAAGAACGAGTTGGTTAACGACTAAATCTCTTCTGCTAACTTTCATGGTTTGTTATACATTCTATTGTGAAAAGGTCCTAACAATAGGATTCAGAAGCTAGTATGATAACACCACAGTCGTCTAAAAGATACTTAAGAAGAGAACTAACGAGGACTGATCACCAAAAAATGAATCATATTTGCTGCTAGAGAACGGACGATACACATCTCTGCTACACAAGAATCTTGCTTATATTTTATTGTCAACTCTTACTAAGAAATTACTATAAAAAACAACAAAAAAACATTCATTATATGTTTCAAAAAGTCTCTGTTATTGATTGTTCTCTTGTGACAAAAAAAGCCATTGAATAAAAAAGAAAAAAAAATCATAATAATTCAAAAAGAATGCTATCTTCAAATCATCCCTTAATTTGTATCTTAATATCTAGTAGGAATAAAATCAAATCAATTTGAAAATAACTATACTGGTTTTCTTTTGGTTCTATTCGTCTAGAGATCAATAATCCACCGATTATGACGAATGCTATTCTTTGCTCTATCGTCTTACTTGCCAAGATATATTGATTATCAAAGAAGAAATAGCTGATTCTTTTAAACATTGATCAATTTTAAATCAAGAGAAAACAATAAATTTTTCAAAAAGGTGTAGTTTTGAATATTTTGTGCCTTGATTTTAAGTATTTTCTTATAGTTAAAGTCTGTGAGTAGAACTTGGTTGTTAGAAGAAGATAGTTCCTACATTTAGAGAATGAGATCTGCTATAGTAATTACAAAAAAGTAATGTTTTTAATTTTTCTGAAGTTTTTATTACACTAATTTTTTTTTCCATTGAAAGTTAGCAGAGAATCAAAATAATCAAGTGTTTGCATTCGATTTTTTTCAATTAAAAAAAATCAATTTAATCAAAAAAAATCTGATTTTAGCTGTTTTCCCCTCGATATAACATCGATCATTTCACATTTTGGATCTTTTCTACATTTTTGATGTTATTAAACAGACTTGACAAGGTTTCTTGAGACTACAATTGAAATATCAATACGTATATTTTATGATTGATGGATACGTAAAAAAAACGTTGCATTTTTTGTTCGTCATTTTCTTTAATCATTGTTCTTTTCTGTTATATTGTTAATGATAGCATGATATTACTTTTGTTCCATTTTATGAAAATTTTTTTGATGTTATTTGCTAGCCTGGTATATATGAGCTTGTTATTATAGTAAAATAGAAGCTACTGACTCATTAATTTATTTCAATATTGATTACTATTATCTCTAATATTCGATAATATTTTTTGTCTATTTTATGGCAAAAAACTTCGCGTACGACCAGCAATTTAATAGCACAAACAATATATTTGTGTAGTTCTTGAGATTTCTAATTGTATCAACTTCAATTTTGATCTATCACATATACTAATATTAAGAATAATAATTGCAAAACTTTTCTTTTAGTAATTCAGAACAAATGATAATAGAACAATACTTGTGCCTTGCTGTGAATAATTTTCTTTAGTAAAAAACATAATTTCTTTACAATAATTAATAAATTGAATATTTCCTCTTTGGAAATTATTGTTAAATACAACTCAAAGGCTTCTTTATTTTTCATAACATATCTGCAATCGATAAGAGGGAAAAAAATGATCTATAAAATTCAGTTTTTGACTTCGATTTCAAACTTTTTCTTGCTCTCTGCTATATAGGTCACATTAACATGAACTGAGAACTACAATCTGTTGATGCACTCAATAATATGAAAAAGAAGTTTATTTTTTCATATTTTTTACATCTTGTTGACATTTTCATCTTTATGTGAATGTTGATCGTGTCATTTTACATATCTTAAAGTTACTTCTATTTTTCAGTTCAATTTTTTGATTTTTTTTTTCAATTAATTTTTAAATAATCAAAAACAAATAACATCCTCATTCTTCACAACTCAAGTTTTTCCAATACTATTTCATAAATGAAAAAGCTGAATGAAAAAACTTAAAGTTCAAAAAAGTTTTCTTTCATTCAAGTTCGAAAGATACTTCTATGTAAATTATATTAGTAAGAAGCCGAAGAAATTTCTCATACATTTGTTTTTTCTTCTCTCAATCACAATCAAGTCAAAAGTAATTGAATTTTGGTTATTCATTATTGTACTGATGTTTTCTTTTATTCAACTCAATGCAACAATAATCAAACAACGAATAATATGTTTTTGTTTTTTTCTCATCAACTATAGGAGGAACACTGCATAATGACTTTAATGATTGTTCAAAAAACCGTTGAATCAGATCGTGAAAAATTTATAAAAACTATCAATAATTGTCCTCAGGTGGAATACTTTGTTTTGTATGCAAAACTTCATCTTTGATGATGAAATTTGACAGTTTGATTTATTATTAATGATGATATACATTATGTGAAATTGTATTTGAATATTATCATTACTTGCTCATATACATATTAGAAAATAGACCGAAAAAGACTATTTTTCATAATTTTGAATGAAACTATCGAACAATCAAGTTAATATTTTAGAAAATAATGTTGAATAAAAATTTTCTACTGTTGACAAGATTTATTATTTCAATAGCTTCTACAAGAGAACAAAAAAAATTCTAAAACAGCAGTATGATTTTGGTGTTCGGTCTATATTCGGAGATAATTATAAACGATGCATCAACATAAACAATTCAATTATCTTATTGAAATCAATTACGAGAGAGTAACCTTTGCAGATATAGTAGAACCTGTTGCACCAGATTTTAACCAAAAACTCACAACATAGATTTGTCCAGTTGTAGCCGTAAATTGTTGACTAATTCGATCAGCACATCCATTACTCCCATCGCATAAATGATAACTTCCACTACGAGGCGAATAACTATTACACACATAGCCTGCTACTCCTGAGCATGTTCCATATGGTGTTGTTCTTACCCAAGGTGAAAGAGAACCAGTTTCAAAACCTGTATTATTCAACATTTGAACAGGTCCAGCATATACTGACACATCATCAAGAAACCAGTGATCTGGATCATGACGGAATTCAAAGGCAAGAGTAACTAGACCTGTAGCAGGTGACGTCCATGCATAGGAAAAACATGTGTAAGAAGTTCCACTACCAGATGATGTTGTATAAAGAGTACTTGCAGAGCCAACAGAAGTTGGTGAACATGGAGGTGTTGGAGTTGTTGCTGTTAATTTTGATTAATCAAATTATAGAAAATGAATAAAAATAAATATAACTCACTTATTGTACTAGTACTACTAGTTGCTAGAATGGTTAACAAAGTATTTGAGTAAAAGAATAGAATTATCTTTTCTTTTTCAGACATATTTGAAATTTACAGTAACCAAATATCACATCAAGTCATTTGGAAAAAGTAGCCTAATAGAAAGCAAACACTCACATGTAGTTGACGTTGATGCTATTAACAAAGGAGAAAAGGACAAACGATAGATGATAGGAGACATACTAAATAAAATTTACTTGATGATGTGCTACTTGTTGTTGTTGCTAAGTGAATAAAAAAAAATACATATCGAAGATTTTAATAAACATAAATTTTGTTCTTTACAAGTAAAATGAAATATTTAGAAAGAAAACTTTGTTTTTTTCAAAAATCTTTATCTTTGCTTACCCGTAGTACTAATTGCAGTGACTGATGTTGTTTAAAAAAAAAATAAAAAAAAAACAAATTTCAGTAAAGTAATAGATAAATTATCTAATCACACAATTCATTATTATTTATTGAAAATAAGATTCAAAATGATCTTGAGTTTTATAATCTCGATAAAGCCATTGTAAAATTAAGGTAATTATTTCTTATTTCAAACAAATTGTAAAAGAAAATAATCTACTCTACATTAATTTTGTTACTCACTTGCTGTCGCTTGAATTGTTAAAACGACAAGTTTGTATTATATTAGTGATATATTCATAGCGATCACAAAGACTTACTTGCGATTGTTGTATTTGTTGTTGATACTAAAAGATAAAAAAAAGGAAATATTTTTTAGAAAACTAACTTCATTTCGACTGGAAAATTTTTAGAGAACCATTTCGATATACAAAAGCTTACAGATTTTGACTTCCTAAGTATCAGGAGAATTTCATTTTTTTTTCGTTTGTGATGTAAGATTTTTGTTCAAAAAAATTTTGTCAATTCGAATTCTTTGACATACAACTGTATGATCTATATGTTATAGCATACCTATAGAATTTGTTGCACCTGCTGATGATGTTAACCAAAGTGCTATGATAATGGCCAAAGCGATACTGCCAAATAGTAAACCAATAATGAAGCATAGAATACATAAGCATTTCGTTGAATAAATCTTGACGAAATATCTTCGTCTATTGTCAATAAATAAAAATATGTTCACAGAAATAGATAATAAATACAAGTACTCGATTTTTGACAACAAAATCGTAAAAGGCTTGTTATTTAAATGACTTGTTGACAATAATTAATATATTATTCAGTACTTGTAAATTCAGTCAAATTCATCGACTCTGCTAGTACAATACCTATCTGAATTAGTTTTAATGAGTGGTCCATAACGAATTGCATTGTTAGTATTTGGAATCCGTTTATTTATGTTCTTTCCTCAATGGAAACACATTTTTTATGAAAAGGTACCACTTGAAATTCTGCACAATATGTTATACTTTATTTAATAAATATAGGCTTCTGCATTTTTTAGATCAAATGTAATTGGCGTTGGGACAAATACAGAAAAATGATCGAAATATCATTATTTTGACTCAAGTAAAGCGTTTGAGATCTAACATATTTTTCTATCCTCCATTTTTCATATTAACTACTTGCTTCGATGAAGTTCAGTCGTGGTCAGCCTCGGACCTTCTCATGCACCCAAAAATCTAGATCTCGATATCATATCAGCAACTATGTAGCAACGAGAACTGCACGCCTTCACCACTTTGAGAAAATTTTCACTTTTTCTTTCAACAAAAATTGTTCTTATTATCGAAAAATAATCGTTGCATGAACAAAATAAAGTGTGTGCTTCTCTTTTTGAAAAAAAATTTTATATGCATTTTTTCAGCTTTCAAAAAATTTCTCTTGCACCCGTTTCAAATTTCTTAGTTCGCCATATTCCTGAATACCAGTGATATATTCTATTTTCCAACAAGCAACTTTCTTTCTGACACGGTCTCAATTTTACCGTCGAAATATTGACATTTATCTGAAATGTGCACGGACGACTAGGGAAGCATGATAAAATGCTAGAGCTAGCGTTGCTATTCAATTTTTATTCAAAGTTGAATTGTTTGCAAGAAAATCACTTGGCTCAAATCAAAAGAGACTTGCCCTAACCTATAAACAATTTTGTATATATATATATTATAGTTGTTTACATGTCTTTACTTTTCATCTTTTTTCAAATATGTGTAAAACAAGCTTTAGACTCTAGAATATATGTATATCTTTGTAGAGAATTACAAGCACTGTTTTTTGAAAAAATAGGTATTTCAATTGAGTGAAGAATAGAGGAAGCATTTTAAAAATAATACTAACAGAACAATTCTTTATGAACCATTTGTTACTTTCGAGTCACACGTCAATACGTCAGCAACAAAAAGTAAAAGTACGAAAAACTAGCAAATAGAAAAATTATTGAGGTTTAAGTTTAATGATTTGGATTGTTTGATTCAATAGTTATCATTGTAACATTTCTCAAAGCCTCTTTTTTTTGGAAAATAAATAAATTAAAACAATAAATTCATGAAATATCTGAAAATGACTTTTTCTTATTAGTCAATTTCTAAATATTATAATCAGCAACGGATTATCAAACATTGGAAAAGAACCTAATTCAACGACATTAGCACTACAAGACAGAGATATGCATCATGCTTAAAAGAGGAAGCGAGAGTAGCATGAAGGACAGTAATAGTCTTAGAATAACGGTGGAGACAGTCACCATT